GGATCACTTCCTTTCACAGAGGCAAAAGTTACAAGCTAACAACAGTGTCATAGCGATGACTCTTCAGGCTTCATCTTTTTTGTCTGTCCATTCGAACCACCTTGCAGATGCTGCCTTTTCTTTTTCTGCTGCTGTAACCTTTCCTCCTTCTTCTGTAGGTAAGCAGCCATGTTATCAAATGAAGCCTTGTAGAGACTGCTGTAGTGGCTCTCTGCGCCAACAAACCCTGCAATTAAGAAAAGCAAGAACACAAGACCTGTTAATTCCCTTAGCGGTCTGGTCTCATCGATTACTTCCTGTATTGTAATTCTAGATAGTGGCAACTAGTTACAACTAATTTACTGTGGTCCTATGCACTGTGTAAGCCTGATTTGTGTTGGTAAGCATCTGTTCAGCATTCACACAACCAAGCACAGCCTCCATTTTTAGGCTAAAAAAATCCGTACAGAGCCAAGCACCTGATGCTGAAGCAAAGAGAGCAGGGAGCTCTCCTTCTATGTTGGACACTTGCAGACTTCAAGGCTTCTGTTTTTAAAACAGCTGCTGTTGCAACTTATTGTTAAGACAACCCGCCAGAATTGTTCCCCAAGACCTAAGCACTGCAAAGGGTGTACGCTACCTAACTGTGCTTAGTTGGCTTGTCTCCTAGGGTATTAACTTAAAGAAGCCCAAAGAAGTAGACTTCAAATAGTGATATCCTGCAGCACATACACATTTCTAAGCATTCACTCCAATGGTTTTGTTACACTTTCTGTCAATTCAGTGTACTATTCACCACGCCATCTCCAAGACCATAAGTTTAGACAAGTTTAACAGGGAACTAACTGCTAGCCAAAAAACCTCAATCAGATTGTTGCTGTAGAGAATAGAGAACGAGACTAACTGGCTAGGTTTGCATTTCTAAAAATTGTTAAGAGTGATACCTGACAAAGCCAGTTACCTCTAGTTCTCTTTGTATTCCTACTTTTTCCCACTTCCAAAAATTCTTGATCTTAAAGGGCAAATGCAAGGAAATCCAGTATTTGCTAGGGTTTGGTCCTGAAGCTAGGATGCTACACCACAGTAACGTACCCACAGCATCCCCTTGTTTCTTGGTAGACAAACAAAGCAACTATCTCTTGCTGGTACTCAGCAAAGCGCATGCTTTTGCTTTCAAGGGTCTTGTGCTCACATAGTAACCAATTCATTGGCCTTTGGCCCTGGAAGAAACTGTGTGCTGTCAGTTTGAATATCCATGCCACTCTCTACTTGATCAGTCTGCACTACATCTTGCTCTAACTTTTTCTGGGATCAGTTATAACAGAATGTTAAGCTGTTCAAAGTGTACTTCAAGATTGACCTACGCGTCTTAAATCCTACAGAATCAGCAATCAGGTGAAACAAGTTTATAAAGGAAGATACGCAGGCATTAAGACTGAGTTTAAACAATATAATCATCACCTTTTTTAAAAGAAGTAACTACATCTTCAAGCACTAATTATGCACTGGCATAAGTGCTCATCAAGTGAGCCTCCCCTTACTAATTAACAATAATAGACCTTGTCATCTGAGCAGTCCTCCTTTCCCAGCTGCAGATGCAGCCGGCTACCATGTATCACAGTAATTTGCTACACCGGCTAATTATGCTCAGAACCTCTTCCCCTGCCTGCTCTTTTTACACCTCTGTTGATCATTTTCACTCAGACCTCATACTTCTAATTATCTGCCTGGCTGTAACTATCAAGTCTGCAACATCTACACGCAAAACACTCTCCCTTCCAAGGGAGCACCTGCCTTCCTCAGATTTCAAAGGCTGTACCAACTTAATGACAGCTACACCCTAAACCATCCAATACTAGATATTAAGGAGACTTTATATTAGACTGCACATTACTGCAACTCTTCTCTCTTTAAGTATGACCACCAAGAACAGACAAAAATACCAGTGGAGACTGTAACACCTTTTTTAAAGGAAGGTTCCCAGTCTCCTAGCAAAGTACAGGAGAGAAATTTCAATTAATCAACCTCCACAGAACCTGCCTCGCCAAGGTGGACCTGAACGACCCATCTTTACAGCGAAGCTGCTCCTCCCATGGCTATTCCATTCTTACTATCTCCACTGTACTTCTGATAAAGTGTCACGCCCAGGTAAGAGACAAGATGACAAACAACAGTATTCAATATCGCAGCAGTAAGACAGACTCCAGCAGCTCTGTTATAGAGTGTTTAGCTACATCCCTGGGATAAGGCATCTATGTAGAACAGTTACAAAGCTACAATTCAGATCTAAATACCTACCATCATTTTGCTGTAACAGTAATCTGAACACACTCCATGATCTGCACTAAACTGAGAAAACTGAAAGATTAAGCAACTTCAACAGCCAGCTGAACTGAGCTAAACTCTAATCTTGGTCCTAAATCTAATGCTTTAGCTATAAAAATTGCATTTCCTGGGTCTTTAAGCCAAATTTCTCACCTTCAAACACTGTCCAGTTGTCTTGAAGATATTTTGACATCTTCTGTAATCCTTTGTCATCAGTTACAGCCTGGGAAAAGAAGGAACATTGCATGGTATTTTGGGAATAATAAACAATCTCATGTTTCACAGCACACTGAAAAATGCAACAGCTCTCAGGCAAGTACACTGAAAAGAGAGCAAGTGTAAGCCCTCCATGATCTCTTTTAGGCTCCTTTTTTTCCAGTACTGCTATAGAAACCTGGCTTGAGATCATGTGTTCTGCTGGGGAAGCTCTGCAGCTTGATGGAAAAGAAAATGGACTCCCACTTACTGATTTGTGAGGAAAAGGAGTATCACAAGGAACAAACAAGGGCTGAAGAACATACGTAGAAGTTTCATTTAAAACCACTTCACAACTACACCATAATTAGCTGGGGACTTACAAGGATAACAAGTGAGTTTCCAGTTGTTTAATAGGCTATTACAGAGAACTTGATAGCACATCCCTCAAATTTGGCTCTGTTCTCAGTGAAAAAAAAATTCCCCTTAATGGTCCCAGAATGCCCTGTCCCCCAAAGGATCCTTCAGAAGAAAGCACAGGGAAGGCTGTGTGGAAAGCATTCCTGAGTAAACCACAAAGGGATTTTGTTGTTTTGTGGTGGTGTGGTTTTTTTTTTTTTTAAATAATCGAGTGTAGCACACAGAAAGCACAGGCAATGGTTTAAAGTGCTGAGTGCAACGGCTGACAACCACTCTGCTTCATCCTGCTATGCCAGATGTTAGCTTCATCCAAGAAGAGACTGCTATTCCTAACAACCTCTCAGCAGCTTTGCAGTATACGCAGGTGAGCAGCAGAATGAGACGTGTATCTAGGACTTTTACTCTGTCTCAAGAGTGGAGAAGCATACCATTTAGCTTTCATGGAATAGAGTTTACTCCATTTACTCAAGACAACACAAAACATTCAGGATGTTAACATAACAAAAGTATCTACCTTCCATTGTCCATCACATGGCCTGTACAATTGAAGAGGAGCTTCACTGTCTTCCTGCAAAATCCACAGATCTCCCATTTCCTCAAATGCAATGTCCCAACCTTTACGTTCCAAAGAGATTTGCTGTCTGTAAACTAGCTGCTGGGCAATGGCATCAAGCTGAAAGATGTAGACTGTGGGAATACTTTTGAGAGGAGAAACTTAATTAGCATTATTACCAAATCCACCTACAGCCATCACTTGTACAGCAAACTAAAAACACCCACTCTAATTCCAAACAGAGCCAAAGCAAAGACATTAGGAATTGCAAAAAATACTCTAGCACTTCAAGTGCAGTTTGCTTACGTGATCTGATGCAGAAGCTGTAATACCTTACACACCAAATGGCTTCTCAAGTGTTATATGAAAGAAAAAGCAGTCAACACTGCCTTCTCTTTAAAAGAGAAGGCAGTAAAGGAAATTTCACAAGGATTACTAAGGATTTATACAAGGAGTGTTGCATCATAGCACATGGCCTACAGGGCTTCACTTAAAGGAATATGTAGCTGAGCACCAGTCAAAATAAAACAGGAAAGGAATTACATGCCAGGGAGGGGAGGAGGGAATGAGAGGGGCAGAAAACCTTAACATGGCTGAAGAACAGGATTCTGGCACTGCAGTCATCTCCACCTCTCCCATCAGCACTCACTCCTCTAACAGCCAAAGAGCTTCCTAACCTCCCTTGGACAGGTCCCCAGCGTGCCAGACAGGACACCTCGGCTCCCTCACAAGTGGCCTCCCAGGTCCACATGACAGCACTGTTTGGAAATGCTGGGCTGTGGAACTGGAAATAAAAGCCTGAGGTAGAACATGGCCCAGCCCCTGGGTTAAGCGACACGGGCACAGCCCTTGGCCGACACAGCTTCCCCTTCCAGGGCCAGTTTGGATGCCCATGCAGAAAGAGTGACGGGAAGCAGCTAAAGCTCCTCGCTCTTGCAAAGAGCAAGGCCACTGAGGGGACCAATGGCCGATGTCACCATACAAGCAGCTCTGGCAATCTCTCCGTTTCCTGTTGGCAAGCTTTTGCCAGGAAGATGATCTCCCTTCGCAGGCTTAAGGTGCTGTGGAAAGAGAGGGGAAGAGGGCTTGTCCATCCCCACAAAACATTTCCCCGCCAGCTGGATTTGTAAGGTTCCTCAGTGCTTAGGCCCTTCAGCTCCTGAGCACTCTCTCCTTACACAAACACACACAGTTGAACCCCAAAGTGAACGTAGCCTCTCCACAGTTTCAAACTGAAGCAATGCTGTGGTTTTAAACAGAGTGGCCAAACCCATTTACAAGAGCAGAATACAGAAGTTTGGCCACTCCATTGCCACAGCACCCTGAACAAAATGGGACCCAAAACACAGGGGTCAGGCACATCCTGAGCACCAAGCAGGGCTCTCGAGCATCCTAGCCTCATGTTTCCTCCTGTGAGGGAAAGGCATCACAAAGTCTGCAAAATTTAACTAAGCTGGGTGACCCTCGCACTCACCTCTGCACTCAGACCAAGTACAATAAGGACTCGGAGGCTCCCTGTGAGGCCACAGGCATGCCTGGGACACCTGGAGATCCACAGTACCAAGTACTGCGGGCAAGGGGAAAGTTAGGACAGTCAACACAGAAAGCTGCTCTTGCCTTCGCATGAGCTGTGATTATTTTAGCCATTATTCCATTTATTCTTACCAGTCACACAGAATGGCAACATAACCACCTTGACAGCAGTAAGTTATTCTTGACACAGGGTATTTCTATTGGGAAAAGAAAAAGAAACATTCTTGTAAGTTAAGACCATTTATGGGCAGAAAATTCACATCCCATTTCATGTCTTAGCCCTCAAAACTTAGCAGATGTCTTAATTTACAGCAAGTTAAGTAACATAATTATCTTTAAACTGCAGTCAAGTATATTTTTGTACAAGTCTTCACTGTTTTATGAAGCTTTCCACACTTCTTCCTTCACAGCGATCCGAACAGAGATCAAATGTTCAGTGAACTACTCTTAATAGACAAACTAGAAGATGAAAGAAAAGTACACCACCTTCAAACATTCTCTCCTGCAATGCTAATGGCAAAAACATCAACATTAAGCCTGCTCAGCCAGAATATCACAGTAGTAGCTTAGAGATTATAAACACAAGCCATTAGCTGCCGTTATGTTTGTTAAAAAAAAGAAGATAGCGATGCACAGCTAATATCCTTGCTGCATTGTCTCTGTTTTCAATCTATGTCTGGGTGAAGCCATACCACTTAACGGAAAACGTGTTCTGAAGAATAAGACAAGACTGCCTGAGGCCATTTTCCTCATTAAAAAAACACCAGGAAACCAAAAAAAAATTCCCAACAACAAAAAACCCCAAACCACACTCCTAATTTAGAAGATATATAGTTTTAGCCAGGAGAGAATCAGAGAAACACCTCTGCTGCACAAGCTATACTACTCGAAATATAGAACAACTGGTTTGAGGCACCTTGAGTGGGAAGTAAGAACCTGGGACAAGCAGAGAGACTGCAAGAAGATGCCCTAGGGTGCTTTTTCAAAAGTATCTGTTATATAACATGGAAGACAAAACTGCAAAGCAAAAGGCTGACTCTCAAGTATATTTTATAAGTAGCGATAACACCAGCACTTCCGATTAACAAAACCTTCCTACTAGAGTAGTAGTGAGTTATTCCCTTTAGGGCATGGAAAATACATCTTCTTGACATTCTGCTGGCAGAATTCAGAAGCATCCTCAAGTCCTCTTTCCTTTTACCCCCTTTCCAGCCTTCACCAAAAAAAAAGGCTGGTCACTAGACAGAACCTCTGGTTCACCAGGTTAAACTGAACTTGGGAGGAACCAGGGGATTTTACCCTTTGGGCTACCAGCTGATGTACAGGCATTGTCAGGGGGCTTGTCTTGGAATTTTGCAATCAAAGTAGGAAAGCAAAACAAGCTGTACAGTTTCCAAACATTCAAGTCAGCAAGTTTAATACCAGGAGCTAACTATTTTGTCAACACTACATGATGCAATTACTAAAAGATAAACCAATTGCGAGAACAAAAATTAATTAATGGTATAAATATAGCCAAAAACCAGGGTTACACAGTGCATCTCTAGCACATGAGGAAAAAAAAAAACCCAATTCATTATGTGATACAATCTCATGTGGGGGGAAGCAAGGACAACAGCATGCACACAATTTTCACTCACACACTCGACTGCCTGTTTGGACAGCAGAGGAGCACTTCATAAAAAACATTATCAAAAGGATATGTTTCAGAGCTCTTGGGAACAGATGGGACTAATCTCTTGCCACTCTGCAGAAACACTAGGTTGTTAGTCCGTATTTAGCACTGGGACCCAGGATTCCCGTTTCACACAGACGTATAAAATGCTTACAGTTCCAAATGTCGGATAGGATGAGTGGGTTGAATCAGAAAGGTTCGCTATAGCTAATACATCTAAATGTAGTTGTTGTGGTATGGAGCCATTTACACCACAGCTTTAGAGTAAAACTGACAGCTTGTATAAAAACCACCAGTGAGTTCTTCAGACATTTAAGGGAACAAGCCAAGATATATACATATATTAAAAAACCCCAAACCTGTGGTATTTATTTCTAATAACAAAGCTCTGCCTCTGCCTGTCTCATGACAAACATGCAGGGCAAGTGCAGCGCTGTTAAGTGCCCACCTACACAGGAGAGACAAAGGGTTCTGTGAACTTGAAGTACACAGCAGCTCTCCCCTACCCTCACTGGGGGAGGGAGGAGGAGGCTTTTTTGATTTGAACCAAGTGTTATTCACAGCTGGACACAGAGAAGAAAACACATCTTCTCTGCAAGCTCTTTTCTTTCCACCTGTGGGCAAGTTAACAATCAGCAAAGTGAATGGAAGTCCCAGAGTATTATTTTGTTCAAGGACAAGCCTATGAAATCAGTTAACTTAAAGAGGAGCTACAAGAGCAGTCCGTGATAAACAGATGTTCCCTTGATACTCTCTGAACTTGTTCAGCATTTATATGACACTGTTATCAGCTTGCCAACACCTTAAAATTAACTTTTGATGTCATGTGTGAGAAGAGGTGACCCTATGAAAAATTAATGTACTGGAGCACTGGGGTAGAGTTGTGCAATTCACGTTCTGGACTTTAAACAAGCTTATGCTGTCAAGAGAATCAGATGAGGTGAAAGCTCCAAAGCAGGAAAAATATTTATATAGCACTACGAAATTAGAGAATTACTCCCATTCTAGTGGGGAAATGAACAGAGGATCTGCAACCCATCAGCTGAAACCAACGCTACACTGCTCAAAAACACTCCTACATTCCCAAACCAGACATATATTCATCAACTGCCAAGCAAAATAAGCCCACATTAATGTGCTCACATGATCCACCATTACCGATGATTCCATTATCATTGTGCTTCAAGTTCTGTTTCAAGCTTCAGTGCATTCACAGCGGTTATCAATGGTAAAAATGAAATGCAACATGAAAGAAAAGAAAAAAACACTTATATCCCCATCTGATCTTCGGTTGCCAGTGTCATTTGCAGACAGCATGATAGTTATAACCTACAAAGCGCTGACTCAAGAGATCGTTCCCTTAAATTCAGACCATAAATGTCACAGGCAGTTGCGAAGATGATCTTTGATACAACCTGGGTGCACAGCATGACTAAATACTACCACCAGACGTCATCTTTGGCATTTCTAGCACTATGATGCCAGTAAAACACAAGTCTCCTTTCCCCTTTGATCCTGCTGGCCATCGAGACAGTAATTGTTCCGAAAGAAGTACCTATTGACTGCTGTGTAGCAATACAGCACAAAGGTGGCAATGTACCACATTAAGGTTTAAATCTGTCATTTATCTGTCTGTAATCACTGGGACTCTGCCTGATCACTGTTCCAAGTATGTACAAAGTCATACTGGAAGTCAGCTGAGTCTTCTGCACCTCTCAAATATCGTGCAAATCTAGTGTCAGAGACAGATTTTAAAATGCCTGTAAGAGTGGGCAGTAAGCTGAATTTCACAGATTGAAGGAACAGGCTAGCCTGAGGCTTCCAAGACTACTGTTAGGAGACACATACGGCAGTGGATAGAAGAACTGCAAAACACTGCAGGAATACAGTTTGTTAACTGCTGTGTGCTATTTATTAATCCACAGTTTGTGAGTTCTCCCTTTCTGTCATTGCTTACTCACACTGAGGTAAAGAAGCTGAACAGAGACTCCTCAAACAGTCAAAGGGCACCCCCCAAATGTCTACTGAGAGACTCCATCAGCATAAAGAGTAGCCTATGGAAGAGGCTTTATCAGGTGTGTTAGGAGGCAAGGTAAGTGTTACTAAACTACATTCAAAAGCCTTCAAAAACATTCTAAGAGAGCTGCAGATTATTTAAATCAGTTCCTGCTTGTAGCAACAAGGTTTTTTCCTCTAACATTTGTTCATTTATCCAATGCTCCGCTCAAGGTTTATTATATAGTTTAATATTATTTTTTTATAAACATCTTTGTAAGCAATAGAGTTAGGATTCAGTGTGAGATCAAGCACCGTTAATTTACATGCAAGCTATCTCACTAAATGCTAAGCCAGTCTAAGCAACAAGTAGCATTTTTTAAATTAATAATAGGATTGCCCACTTCACAGCTAGTTGTCTACTAGTCCTCAATGATCCAATAAAGCTAGAAGGCAAAGTATTTCAAAATAAAACCATTCTTCCCTCCAAAAGAAATGCCTTTAAATATTACCGCAGACACAGATTCAATGGCTGTCAAACCACGTTGTTTCAACAAAGCACTCTCATTAGCTACTTTTGAACACAAACATAAAACACTGGCTTTGAAACTCCCCAAGCCACTTATTTCCAGAAGGCTGTGTATGGTAAAGTAATTTTGTAGTTTTGCCTCAATCTTAATTCTCCCTTCCTCCCTCAAATCCTGCTGCACTCAGACTATAAGAGGATACTAGCTAGATGGTCTTGTCACCTAATTTGGTACACCCAGTTTTTGCTAGTGAAAAAACCCAGCAACAGCTACTTCAAAGATCTCAAGCACTAGACTCAAGCTGAAATGAGCCAGAGACCTTGTAAATGTGTACGAGAGGCCTCTGGCTCAGGTGTACTTTAAAGTATGCTTTCAAGTTCAGGAGCAGGTTAATTGTCCATATAGATATTACACTGAATTCCTGCTAACAGGAACTCTAGGCCAAACCAAGATTTCCAGTATCTAAGCTTTGAAAGCTGTGATGCAAGTGGCTGCCTTCCTGGGGTTATGTGTAGACATGAAGTTGCATGTTATTAATCCAACACAAAGAACAACTTGCTGATGTTTTCTGCGCAGAAAAAAACCTTGAGTTGTCAGGTCTGTCCCTAGGAGCTTGGTCCTTCCACAGGTTGTGCTCCCAGTTCAGTAACTGAGAATCCCACTAACAAGATCACTTCGACTCACCAAAACCACAACAAAATACAAGGTAGGAAAGACAAAACTTTTCAATTCAGTTTCAGCCTGGATACCAATTCCACAGTGGATTTGCCTCAAGAGCCATGCACGGCTACAGGCTTCCCAGTTACCAAACAGATGGGAGAAAGCTGTGGTCTTCAAAGAAATAAGTGTTTTTAGAGATTTACAAGAAAAACACATCCAGCAGGACGGGTGGCAAGATGAACAGCTCTTAAATGACCCAACAGATTAGCAGCTGGCTTAATATCATGTACACAGTAGGGACAAGAACGAGTGCTGTTTCACTGCTAATAGGTCGTATGCCAATTCGCAGGACAAGAAATAACAAACCCAGGGATCAAATACTACCAGAACCACTGCTCACATCAGACTAGCATCCGAAATCACAGTAGCACCCCAAACGCGTACGTACGACACCACTCATGTACAGGCTGCAAGCTAAGGAAAGCTCCTGGCGTATTCAGTTTTCACGTAACCCTCATTCATTTTAATTTTGGACACTGCCTAGCTTCAGAACAACCCAAAGGAACAAGCCCAGTGTATTGACTTCACAGGGCAGTACTACTGCAGGTGACTGCTTACAAATGTTACAAAGCTTCTTTTTGCTCAGATAAATTGCAACTTTAACACTTGAAATTCTAAGTGTTTTTAAAAAAATGGGTGAATTTTTAGATGTTTCCAGTGTTACAAGATATTTTCTCGCTCAGAGGCTAAAGGCACCTGTGTTTTTGGAAAATTTTTCAAGTGAAGGCTTTATTCAGTGTGCAGAACTTGTATTTGGGAAGAATTACAGCCAGTTTCATCTGGTCACTGCTTGGCACTTTTTTAGAAATGCACACATGACACAGGAATAGATTTCAGGGACCTTCTTCCTTTCCTAAAATTCCAGGCTACTGTAACAGTTTCTACGTCTCGCATAACTTCCAAACCCACAGACAGAAGGAGGCACTCCTAACAAAATGCAACAAACACATTTGGGAGTCACAAGGATCAGGAGCATGGCAAAAGCACCAACACACATAGGCATACCTGGTCAGTTTTGGTTGTCTCAGGCCCACAGACACTACTCAGATGACAGCAGTACACTTCTTCCCCGTTTTTGTATTCCCAAAGTCTCAGAGTCGAGTCCTGGGCAGATGGAAGCAGACACAAGTCTATTACTAACAGCACCTCAGGCAAAGAGAGGCCACTCACGGCCTTCAGCCAAATCCTATTTCCCTGAAGAGCTTCCCACAGAAGCTGCTAAACAGTCACTTAGTTAAGACCTCAAATTGCAGAGAAAGCGTTTTGATTAACATAATTTCCCCCCTCCATTCTAAATTATTCAATCACTCTAACTTTAATTCTCCTTTTGAAGTGGAAATTGGGCAGCTGGAGGAGTGCATTCCAAGTCTGTCACAAATAGCACAGTAATACACGTACTCAGCATTTTAATGGCAATTCTTTCAGGTTGCCCTTCTCCACCCCTACTCCTGTTATCACCCAAATTCTCATTTGATTTAGTAACCTCCTGGAGAGAAGTTAAACATCTCCCTGGAAAAACAGATTAATCAAAGAGCATTTGCCAAGAATGAAATACAGCCGCATACAGCACTAACCCTAGAGTTGCTTAAAGAATTAGAGTAACAAGAGACAAGAGCCTTAGGGAAACAAGAGCAGCTCAAACCAAATGCTAAGAATTACTACAATCTTCACAGAAAACACTGGGTTTTTTCCTATGCGTTTTGGTAGTCTGGGAAACAAAGATTATTTCCCTTCTTTTAGACCAACTCCATCTACTCAGTCTCTACAGGTCTGACAGCAGGACACCACCAATTTAAAAGAAGGGCTGGGAGGGGAGTGAAAGGAGGGAACACTCACTTCTTCAGTCCTCGTCCAAGCACTGTGTAGCACTGCACTGCAGTCTCTACACAACACACACCGGACATACTATGAGGACATACAGACAAGGACGTAATTCAGAATGAGTCTCACAGGAGAAAGCAAGTGGGAGGGTGCAGGGGGAACAATTTTCTCATCTTAAAAGCTCTAAGAAAAAAAAAAAAAATCTGTGCTTCTAAGGCCATTCATTCTCAAGACACTCATTATCATGGTGGGCTGGTATAATACCCATTCACTTCAAAGTTGTTTAATAGTCCAATGATTAAAGTTTGTCTGTGCTCCAAAGCAAGAGTTAACAATGAAGAAATACTGAGGACTTTATGATTTCTCCATCCCAAAGATCTTAAGAAGCTAGCCTCGCTATAAACACAGTAAACAGCTCTTATATGATCTAGCAACAGAATGGCTGAACACTGAACAGAAAGCTGAGAAAGGGAGGGAAGGAGGGAGCGAGAGGGCATGATGTAAACCGTGAGAGATTCTTTCAAGTATCCCAAGGAACGTGGGGGGAAACACAAGCAAACAATGGTTTTAAAGTCTAAATTTTCAAGAAAAATACTTTTTTGAAGAAATTGCAATACATACCCCAGAAGCTGACAACAGTAGATCAGGATAGTTGGGTATTACAAGTATTTTGCTTACAAACCTAAAGGGAAAGTAGTCAAAAGTTGAACTCCTTGCATGACACTCTGGTCTTTAAATACACACAATAAGAGAAAACCAACAATTTTAAAGAGAACCTTGTAATAAACAAACAAAACAGGTTCTCCACATCAAGCTAATTAGGAGGAAGAAAAAAGATGTATATAGTACTTAATATAGTGTACATATACACTACACAAACTACTGACTTTCTACTTAATAGAAAAAAAATATTTGCCCATCTGCACTCAAAGAATTCTACTGACTTCCTCCTGACTGAGAACATTGCCATTTAGACCAGAAAATGCGAATAGAGACAGATTTACTTGGGTAGCACGTTCCCCTTTCTCAACTCACGATGCACATTAAACCCACGAATCAACAGATGCTTTTGCAACACAACAACAGTGATGACTCAGCTTTCAGAGTACCACATCTCTCCCACCACAGCTGGAGATCATTCAAAAGCGATCTTTACAAAATTTTAAAACAAGTATGTGGCAATTTATCACCAGTGCCTACATTCAGCTAGAAACCTTGTTTTTCAAAAGTATGTAATACTGTTGTGTCTACTATGACTTGGCTTTGCTGAGTAATGAGGACCTGAACTTCTGGAGTTTGTTATTATCTTATAGCTCAGCAACTTAAAACATAGTGACCTGAGCAAAACATTACCTGAGTGGGACAGTCTTGGTTTTGAAAACAGGCATAATTCTAAGTCCATTAAAAAAAGAAAGAGGAAAAAAATAGAAGGAAGAGATTTGGTCACTGTAATATAAACTTTCATGACAAAGCATTAGCGGCACGTGCATGCAGCCATTATAGATCCAGCAAGAATCACCATGTACCCCATTGAAAGAAGAAAATCCAGGAGCGTGAAAAAAAGACAATTATACCTGCTTTATGTAATCCTTTGCTTATTCATTCCCAATTCAAATGTTGAGTTTTTTTTAAATATTTCAACCAACTTATACTAAGTGCCTTTCCACTCTACAGCCACTAATGAACTCTTTGTGCAGATACACCATCAAGTTCTATTCATTAGCTAGTACAACTGTGTACACAGTAGGTGGAAACATCAGACATGGCTCTGTAAATATGCTATAGAAACTGACCTGATCAAAGACTACTCAGATCTTTAAGGTGAGTAGTCTCTTGCTGTTATACTATGTCAATTCTACACAGGTCAGACTACCAAATGATGTTATTAAATCAGACTGACACTCCAAATTAATCTGTGTCCTAAATGTTCTATCAAGAACACCCCAGTGGGCAAGTTTAGAGAGGTTGCTACCTATACCTCAAGTTCCCCAGTCACATTGTCTTTCTTCAACTCATTCCCAATAAGGTGAGTTGGCTGCACCATGTTGCATCATCTTATGGAAGAATGTGCCCGGAAGGGTGTCGTTATCCCCAAGTAACTCAGAAGCCAGACAAGTAGAATTACGTGCATTCTCTGCCTTATGTAGGGTCATCTCTTCTCTGGTACCTTGTCACTGTGGACTTCAAAATGTAGCAGTGGCCACACAAAAAAACCCCACATTTTACACAACCCCCCTACCCTACTCAAAAACCCTGACAACAACAACAAAAAAAATCTCCAAAAGCTCACAAGACCACATAGAGGTGGAAGGCAAAATCAAGAAACTTTGAGAATACTGCAACTGATAAGACATTTGAAGCAGCAAAACGTAGAGGGGAAAAGTCTTTTAAAAGTCTGTTTGCCCTTTGAGTCTTCTTCATAGGAAAAGGACTACTGAGAAGAAAAGGGAAAGTACAGTCCCTCCTGTAGGCTGAAAAGGAAGTCCTGATAAACTGGCTAAAGACAACTCTTATTCCTACACCAAAAGAACTACCAGTCTCCCAGCAAGTCAGAGCATTTCTGAATACGACACAAATATCATATGAAATGATACTGAGCACACCAGCAGAGCTAGCAGGTTGCTTTGCTGCCTTCCACTCTTCAGATCACTGCAATTAGAAGGACCTTCACTTCAGGATGGAAGACAAAGGAAAGGAAGTGAAAGTTCACCCTTCCTGTTTTTATGCAGAGTGAAGCCTGCATTTTACTAGACTTAGTAACACAGCAGCACATCATCTTTCTACAGCGATATCCCCTATGATCCACTTTCCACAGATCCTCCTACCTGCCTAAGTGTTCTTGCCCACAGCAATAGAACCAGACTCAAGAAAAACAAGTCCCTTTCCTCAGCTACTAGAAAGGCCAGGTAATTAAGAAGCATAATCCCTTGAATCTATTTTATGGGACCATTTTGCAGCCTCTAGCTCACTGCAGTCTAACTAATGACCAGGCAGAAAAGAGTGCTCTATTCTTCCTATTGATACAGCTGGGGTTTTTTGTATTACCACAGAACCTCTACGTCTGAGCTGTGCATTGAGATGCCATTAGATTAGCATCTGTTCAAAACCAAAGGCTTCCTAAGACTAAGGCAGGTTCCATCCTGAACAATCTCCAGGCTCTGGAGTCTACTGTGACCACTAAGTCAAGGGAGGGGATTCTGCCCCTCTAGTGAGACCCTCCCTGCAATACTGTGCCCAGCTCTGGGGCTCTCAGCAAAAGAAGGACATGGACCTGTTGGAGCGAGTCCAGAGGAGGCCACAAAGATGATCCAAGGGCTGGAGCACCTCTGCTGTGAGGACAGGCTGAGAGAGTTGGGGTTGTTCAGCCTGGAAAAGAGAAGGCTCTGGGGAGACCTTAGAGCAGCTTTCCAGTACCTAAAAAGGCCTACAAGAAAGGTGGGGACGGACTTTTTAATAGGTCCTGTCACAATAAGACAGGGGGTAATGTTTTTAAACTAGAAGAGGGTAGATTCAGACTAGATATAAGGAAGACATTTATTACAGCGAGGGTGGTGGAACACTGAACAGGTTGCCCAGAGTGGTAGATGCCCCATCCCTAGAAACATTCAAGGCCAGACTGGACTGGGCTATGAGCAACCTGATTGAGCTGAAGATGTCACTGCTCATTGCAGGACCGTTCGACCAGATGACCTTCAAAGGTCCCTTCCAACCCAAACCATTCTATTATTCAGTCACAGACCTAGCTGTTGTTTAATATGACTTGAGGTGACATTCGTTTCATCCACTGAGGCACAGTGAAGAGCTGCACACAGTAATTTTTGCACACAACAAACTTACTCTTTGTGTCCCAGACAGTAGGATACAATATTATGAGGAGCCTTTGCTAAGCTGACTCTGATCTTCTCATCTCTGTCTGCAGTTAGGATATACCGGTCATCAGGACTCAGTGCCTGTTGGTAAAGAGAGAGTTTTAGCACCCAGTAGTTCAATGCTTGATTTAACGTAATTATTCCTAATCAGGAGAAAAAAAGATAAGCAGTAAACTATCTGTTTCCCCTGACTCTGAATGGCAGGTGCAAACATTAAGGCACGCTTTTGCACCAACAATGGAAGTATAGACCTTTATGACACTAACTTTTTGCTCACTAAAACAAGCGACACTGACTATTGGGTCCAGTGAAAGCCACTGAGCTCCAACGATACAAGTGGAAGTCCCACCTTATCACATTGAAGAGCTCAACTGATATGACAGATGGGGTGAATTCCCATATACATTCCATCACCAAGTCTTCTGTGACCGTAACACAAAAACTTTCTGAACACTTACACTCCCAGGACAGATAATCCTTTGGTAAGCTTGTTTCCTTACCAAATTCTGCAGACACAAACTCAGTAGGAAGAAATCCAGACCACATACTTCATTAATATAAAAACAGAACTCTCAAATCTGGGATAAAAGCAACAATGAAAGACCGCATTCTGCTTGTGTTTGGGGTTTGTACACTAACTACATGGAGGCACATACTTACCACATCCAGTAACAGAGACAAGTGACCCAGCTCAAGTTTTCCATCTGCTTTGGGTTCTGTTATTGAGTAAGAATAGACATCACCGGACTTGTCTGCAACCAGAATCTTATCCTCCGCAGTTGTAATAATCAGGGAAGTGCATCTCCTATTCACGGACCTGAAAGAAAAATGGCACAGTCTGAACAGCTCTGGCTGGCAGCTTTAGCCAGTCTGGATTCAGACCCAATTAAACAGACAAAGAGGGTGGACAAAAACACTCTCAGATGCAACATTCTTGAAATGGCAGCGATGCAAATAGTGTTAAGGCAGATCATGGGGCCAAAATAGCACTTTTGAGACCTACTAAATGACTTAAGCTATGTAACCGCAAACACTTGGGGGTGTGTGGGGG